ATCTAGGACCCTAGTCCTCATTGAGGTGGGAATGACAACTCTGCTTCCCCACAGCAGACAACCCTGAGAGGTGGACAACTCGTTCCTTTTAGACCAGAAACTCTGAAACTCAAGACTAGAACAGTGCTCCGGCCATCCAGACAAAACCCAAGAAAGGACACGTGAAAGTGTGTGATCTGTGCCTGATTCAGCGGCTACATCCCTGGCACTCAGGGGGGACTCGGGCAAGGCTTGAATGGAGAGAGTATTGATGGCTGGCGTGGGGTCAGCCTCTATTACCGGCAGGGGTAATCTACTGAGGCCATCAGCATGGCCCATTTCCTTCCCAGGCTTGTGAAGTAGGGAAAAATCATATGCAGACAAGAAGATAGACCACCTGAGCATCCTGGGGGAGATGATTTGGGGGGTTTGTTTACGTGTGGTAAACAGTCCCAACAAAGGCTTATGGTCAGTGAAGATCGTGAAATGCCTACCATATAAAAAATCATGGAATTTTTTAATTCCAGCAACAACAGCTAAGGCCTCCCTGTCTAGTTGAGCATAGTTGCGCTCAGCTGAAGACAATGTCCTGGAGTAATATGCAACAGGAACCTGAGTTCCATCAGCCCTGAGGTGGCTCAGTACAGCACCCACCCCATAAGGGGAAGCATCACAAGCGATGCACACAGGAAGGGACTCATTGAAGTGAGCAAGTACACTGTTAGAAGTGAGCAAGGCCGTGACCTCATTGAAACTAGCCTCATGTGTTTGTGACCACTGCCACACTGCCTGTTTATCTAATAGCCTGTGAAGAGGCTCAGCTACACTAGCCTTGTGTGGAAGAAAGGAATTGTAGAAATTCAGAAGGCCCAGAAAAGCCTGTAGTTTGGCCTTAGACTTTGGCCTAGGGGCTTGCATAATGGCTTTTAGTTTGGATTCAGCAGGATGAATCCCAGCAGCATTAATTTTGAACCCCAGAAACTCAGTAGAAGGCACCCCAATTTTACATTTGTCCTTCTTGAGTTTGAGTCCCGTTTCCCTGAACCTTAATAGGACAGCCCTTAGCCTTTCAGCTAGAATGTGTGTGGAGTCTCCTGCAATTAAGACATCATCAAAATAGGGGCAAACCCCTGGTATACCCCGTAGTGTGTTTTCCATTACGCTGTGGAAAATCCCAGGAGCGACATTTACTCCAAATTGAAGTCTCTTTACCTTGAAAGCCCCTCTGTGGGTCACAATAGTCTGAGCTATAGCAGCGTCATCATCAACAGGCAACTGTTGATATGCTTGAGCTAGGTCAAGCTTTGCAAAAATGCGCCCCCCCCCTTGAGGGAGGCCAGGATGTGACTGACCACAGGAACAGGATAGGCATGTTGCTGCAATGCCTTATTTAGAGTGCATTTGTAATCAGCACAGATGCGAAGGTCCCCATTTGCCTTAAGAGGCGTGACAATGGGGGTCTCCCATGGACTGGAGTCAACAGGTTCTAGAATTCCTTGTTGGATCAGTTTATCCAATTCAGTGTCAATTTTACTCTTTAAAGCAAAAGGGACCCTTCTTGCTTTAATTCTAATGGGAGTGACGGTGGGGTCTAGCTTTAAGGACACAGGAGGTCCTTTGAACGTGCCCAGCTGGGGGCTGAAAACATCTGCAAATTCTTTGCAGACTTCCTGTAGGTTGAGTGTTTGTAGGCTGTTGAGCCCTGTGACGTGTATCCCCAAGGCCTCAAACCAATCGAGTCCTATGAGACTCGTTCGTTCACCCCCTACTACTAATATGTCTAGTGGACCTTCAAAATCCTTATACTGTACGTTAAGGGTGGCCTCCCCCTTATCACACACTCTGGAGTTTGAAAGTCTGTTAACACAATATCAGAAGGCCTCAGCTTGGCCTGAGTTCCACTACCGGAACAGATCTTCCTAAAAGTGTGCATAGAAATGATCGAACGTGCAGACCCCGTGTCCAGTTCCATAGTTAATGGAACCCCTTGTAGCTTCACTTTAAGTGACAGCTTTTTCTTAATGGGCTTGTGTGTGCCTGTCCGGTAGATGCTTCTTCGCGAAGCGCAAAACCTTACCCTATTCTGGCTGGGGACCCTGGTACCTTTCAGGCGCAATTCTTCCTGAGGTTGTACCTTCTGACGGCCCAGGCACACAGCTGCAATGTGTCCTTGTTTTCCGCACACCTGGCAGATAGCGGAGCGGAACTTGCAGTCGGCTCTCTTGTGGCGACCTCCACAACCGATGCACTTGGGGAGAGCTGAAGAGCTTCCTCTTGGTTTTCCTTCCTTTGTGGGGTGGAGACGGTCCACTTCCTCGTCCGGATCCTCCTCGGAGTTTCTTTGGACTTCTTCCTGGTGCACAGATGCAGCATCTGGACTGTTTCTGATCGGCCGCATGTTCTTGATGGCGCCGCCCGCTGCTTCTTCTGCGGTGACCTCTCTCAAGGCATCTTGGAAAGACAAGTCCTCCTTGGCGAAAAGTCTCTGTTGCAACTCTCGATGCCTTAGCCCGCATACAAACCGGTCCCTCAATCGTTCTTCGAGGTCCTTGAACTCGCAATGTTTGGCGGCTTTCCTCAGTGCGGCGATGTACTCTTTGGCCGATTCTCTGGGTCGTTGATCCCTCTGCTCGAAGGTGTGGCGCCACGCGATGACGGACATCTTAGGTTGGAAGTGCTCCTTCAGTAACTTTTTTAGATCTGCGTAGCTGACAGACTCTAAAGGAACAGGTGCTGCGAGGTTCTCCGCGATTTCGAATGCGTCTTGACCGCAAACGCATAGCAGGGTGGCAGCCTTCAAGCTCTCTTCCCTCACCTGGTTCACCTTGAGGTAGTTTTCCACCCTGGCTGCGTAGGACTCCCACCTCTCTGGATGTGAGACGTCGAATTCCGAAAGCCTTCCAATCTTCGCCATTTCATATCAGGAAGGGTCTATCAGCCAGCCTACCCCCGAATGCACGCTGGATTGACGGGTAGCTGCCAAGTCAACGCCGTTCCTGCCGCTCCGGACTCACTCGGGTAAGCTTACACCTTCTCTTTTCCAATGTAAGGCAATCCCACCTTCGTCGCCAGTGTTGAGTCCCTCGCGAAATGGTAAGACACGAGAAGCAGTTTAGTTCTCAGGAAACCTTTATTCTTCAGTTCAGCTTACATTGGAATGTGGCGGCAATGCCCAAAACTCTCGGCCTCCTTTTATAGGCCTTTCCCGGGTCAATCTGTTACTTTTGGCGCGCCAGCACCCGCGCATGCGCACATGTATTGGCGACAGCCTGTCTGGTCCCGGGCAGCTTGCACCTGCCCGGGACCGTCCACAATGCCCCGAGCCTGCTTGCACAGGCTCAGGACATAACAACAACAACAACAACAACAACAACAATAATAATAGTAATAATATAATATCTGTGACATACAAAGCATATTTTTCCCATTCAAAGAAACACTTGGAAAATGGAATATATTTCATCAAACACACTGGTTAGCAATTACATGTATATTTCCACCACTTGCATTCTTGGGCCTTTTTCAGCCAAGATCACAAGGATACAGCTTGCCTTTCTTCACCCATGGAAGGATACTCCTTACCACTGGGGAAACCTTTTTCAATGATGGATCAGATACATATCATACTGAATGTTGGAGGCCATATGTAGTCAGGAAATGGGGAAGATGGATGCATCCATCAAATCAAAGCATCTTTTATTTATTTTTCCTCTACTACTACTCTCCCATCTTATCCATTCATTTAAGATTGAAAAGTGGGAGCAGCTGGAAACAAAGATAATAACTGAGTTGAAACTGGCATTAATAATTTATGGGGAAAGGTAAGCCACAACAATACAAAAGAGAGACTTGGCAGGAAAGTACCTGAATAAGAGAAGTCAGTAAGGTTTAGATATCAAAGCAACTGAGATTTCCCCCCCAAACTGTGTAACAGACCATGATGAATAAGTAAGAAAGGTGTAAGAGCAACAAATCCATTTCATGAAGTACTATACAAATCAAATCCATTTCATGAAGTACTATACAAATTTCTGTAATAATTATATATATATTAGGGCAGAAAAAAAATAAAACAGATTAGCAGGAGACAGTGAAAGGACAGAATGTTATTTTACTAAAACCTATCCTGTCAGGAGCAACAACATAGCTATAATCTCACCATCTCACTTCATCCTCACAACCACTGGATAAAGTTGAAAAAGAGGGAACAAGGTCCCAAATTGTTGGATCAGTCACTAACTTGCAGACCTTACAGTGAAAGATGGAAGAAGGGTATCCAGCTGTTGCTTCTCGTAATGCATGGTTAGCAGAAGGATGCAGGCTTGGTCAGGCCAGGAGTTATACATGACTTTTAAGTAGCATGAGGAAGAGAGACAGGCAAGAAAGAAAAAAACATGCATGTGGGAAAATTTTGTTTGAGTGTAAGCTATAAATTAAAACTGATTTCATATAGATTTAAATAGCATGACATTACATTAAATATAATAGAACTCTTCTACGTGGATTTAATAATTTCCCCTTTTATTACATTAAAATAAACATTAGGACACCTGGAGAGACTCAGGTTTTACCAGCTTGATATATGTACAAATAAGCAGTAATTGAATTATTGGGGAAGTTCATTAGTTACATCTGTTTCTTATACAGTGCAGCATTCTGTCTTCCATAATAAATTGTAAAATACCTCATTCTTCATTGAATTGTATCTTACCATAAATTTTGTAAGAGAAGGCTAACAAGGCCTGCTCACATAGAATACAAGCAAATAAAAGAATACACAAGCTGCACTATTTGTACAACACAACTTAAACAATACAGTGAAATGTTTTCTCTTTAAAACAAGTCTAGCTGCTCAGCTAATGAACCTCACTAAAAAGTTCTTGTTTCCAAAGTAATCATTAGCAATGTAAATTAAAAAAAATAGGCAGTAACACTCCCCAATTGCTGCCAAATGATACAGGTATTAAAATGGTTACAGTTTAGTAACTCACTGCCAGTATTTGCCATTCAGCTCATCTTACCTAGAGTAGTTAACCCGACCTCAGCAATTTGTGGACTTTGAAAAAGCATGAGATTGAATTTAACAGGTAACTAAGTACAGACACTGCTCCACCCACTTCAGCCTGATACTTCCTGTTTTCCTAATACCTGAGCAGATGGGAGGAACCTACACTGTAAGCATCATTAGCGTGTTGCAATCAGAGCTTCTGGAATAGTCAGAAATCTACCCAGGTTTTCTTTCATCATAAGCTTATCTGACTGCATATGTTTCAACTTGTTGTCACTTTAATTCACTTTGTTCTGCTCTTTTTATGCATAAGGTAATGATCAGATCTGAACTGGTAGGAAGGGGTTCTGGATTGTTCAAATGACTTTTGGTCAGTAATGGGTTTAGCAATGCAGTTTCAAGAAGCAAGGTTTTTCCAAATAAATAAAAAGTAAGCAGCTTAAAATTTTCACCAGTGATAGAAAATAAGCCTTTAGCCATTATATGGCCTTGAAAATTGCTTTTAGCAAAAAAAAAAAAAAGTGCAGTTTGTTCAGATTTACTTTTAAAAACAGGTCTCAGTGGGACTAGCTCCCTTATAAACACACCAGATTGTTGCCAAAGTATTGAGGGGAAAAACTGTTTAAACCTTTGGAATCATATTCTGTATGATAACAGTTTGTATGTGGGAAAATGAAAGAATCATATGTTTGTGTTGTATTAAAAATGAAAGTTACAGTTTTTATCTTTTGAACTTTTACAACTATTAATAGCATTGTGCTGAGCCAGAAATCTTGGCTTAAAAGCAGAAATGGCTGGGATAGCATTGGGATATGGCCTTCACCACATCTCCTGTTTAGTCTAAACTCTAGATTATTGTTTCTCAACCTTGAGAACTTTAAGGTATCTGGGTTTCAACTCCCAGAATTCTCCAGCCAGCATGGTAGGAATGGAATTCCTGGGAGCTGAAGTCCAGACATCTTAAAATTTTCCAAGGTTGAAGAACACTGATCTAGATACAAAATACTGATATTACCTGACTCCGTGCTAGAGGATAAACCAGTGGTTCTCAATCTGTGGGTCGGGACCCCATTTGGGGTCGAACGACCATTTCATGGGGGTCGCCAAACAACGCAATCCACCATTTTTTCCCCCTTTTCCTTAGCTGTGCTACTCCTTTTTATTCTATTGGCTTTTGAAAGCCAATAGAATAGACTCTCTTGAAGAGAGTCTAATTCTATTGGCTTTCAAAAGCCAATAGGAATTGTCCAGGCTGTCTCTGCCCTGCTGAGCCCGCCAAAAGTCCCATTCTGCAAACGGTGCTGCACCAGTTGAGTAGTCCTCGACTTACGACTGGTTGAGTAGTCCTCGACTTACGACCGGTTGGGGGTCGTGGCATTAAAAAGGTTGAGAACCACTGGGATAAACTCTCCCAGCAGTGTCATACAGCTATTAAATAAGAGGGAGAAGTGTTGAGCCTGAGACACCACAACATAGGCACTGAATACACCCCTCACACACATGCCCTAACTGGAATTGTTGCTTCAAGAAAGAGGAGAACCCTTGCAAAACACTGCTTCTCACTCCTGATCCTTGGACACAGTTGAATAGGATATGTCATGTCGATCCATATAGGAAAAAAGCTACCATATATACTCACAGAGAAGCTGAGAATGTTAGGTGCCACAATGCACCTAAACAATGGGGTTTGACCTATGTGCAGATGGGCCTATCCATGTCTATATACTGTTTAAAGTGCCTGTGTTTCCCATATATAGTTGTGGGTCAGCCCATCTGAGAAGCAGACCAAAATGTGGGTTGGTTTATCTGCGGGTGCACATTTTTCATATTATTTTGCAGGGCTCTTCAAACTTGGCAACCTTAAGACTTGTGGACTTCAACTTCCAGAATTCCCAAGCCAGTATGTGTTCAGTATTATTTGGGCAGTCACAGGCAATCCCAGTCACCTGGGATTTAAAGTTTTATTTATTTTTCAATATAACATACCATATAATTTGGCTTCCCCTCCCCCATATACTATGTACCACATTGTATATAGAAGACAGAGCTTCATCGTGACTGCGATCTTGACTTCTTTAACTATCTCCTGTGAAACAATAAATAATAAATACTTGAATTTTAAAATAAATTTTAAAATAAATGGTCATGTTTATTCAAAAGCAAGCATGGTTTATTCAATGAAATGTTGCCCTCCTTTAAACATTTTTCATTCATGTAAAATGTCTCTGCAGTTAGAATGATTTGCAAGCTATAGAGCAGTGTTTCTCAACCTTAGCAACTTTAAGATGTGTGAACTTCAACTCCCAGAATTCCCTAGCCAACATTGCATTCTGGGAATTGAAGTCCATGCAATTTAAAGTTGCTGAAGTTGAGAAACATTATTATAAAGAAAAGAAGCATCTCTGGTATTTATTGATCTTTCTTAGACTACTTCCTATCCCTACTCAGTTGTATTTTGTGCCTTTATATGCTGAAAATTCTGTTTCTTCCCAAAAAAATTCTTGCTGCAAGGAAAAAAAAATCTTGGTTAAGCAGAAGCAAAATATAGCTTGACTACCGATGTATCTTGCTGGGATCTGTTCTACCATGCAGTGACAGTCTGCCATAAACTATGGGGAGGGTAGATGGAAGGGAGGGTTGCTTGGGGGAAAGCAAAAGTGATTGCTGCTTGGGGAAAGCAAGAGGAACTGCTGCATTAACACACACACACACACACACACACACACACACACACACACACACACCCCGCTGCTTGCTGTATCTCCCAAGATCGTTTTCTCAAGGTCACCAGGCTGGGAGAAGAACACAGCTGCCTATGCTTGAAGTGTCCATTCTCAAAACATCTTGTTTGAAGCTGGTTGGTGGTGGGGGGCACTAATGGGAGGCAGCTAAGAAAGTGAAAAGTTGAACTTAGGGATTTTGGCATTCAATTCTCAATTCTGACTATGCACTACTACAATGCACTTGACGTCTAAAAAAAACTATACTTTTTACAATAAATGGAGCCAAGGATCGTTTCTATTTAGAGGTTTAAGTTACAGCAGTAAAAAGCAGCTGCTGTTGCTACTAAATATTTAAACCCCCCCCCCAAAAAAAGAAAGAATTTCACCACAAGATGGCAATCACTCATCTGTATTTAACTCCTTGGCTCCATTTGTTAATGGATTCAATATAAAACAAATATACTACAGGCAGACTTAGGGTGAGTTCTTGCTATGCCATAACATGAATTGTGTGTGCTTAGCATTTGTGTGAACTTAACTATTGATTATATTTTTACATGCTTACCACATGATAAATCAAACAGAAAAATATTAAGAGTGTATTCATAGAATAAATTAAAATTGCAACAGCTTAACCATGGTTTATTGAATAAAATGTGATTAACTTAGTCTAAACTGCAAACTATGTTTTACAAACCATACTGCATTTAAACAGCAATAGGTGAAATAGACAAAATGTAGACTTCTTATGCTTTTAGTAATGGTGCTAATTATATGAGGAATATAACTCATTCCCCAAAACAACATATTTATACACTGAATTAGTTTTCAAATTTCTCCCTCACAAGGATGTCCCTGTTCCATTAATTAAATGGAAAATAATCATCAAATGAATAGTACAATCCAATTATAAAATTAGAGAAAAGTAAATGTTTTTCTATACCAATCCTAATTTATTACAATATTGCTCAGAGGTCCAAGTGAGTTCAGTTCTATTTACCCTCAAGGAAAGGAGCATAGGATTGTAGTTTGTCAGATCTAAATGTAATCAATGATGAATTTCTAACTGAACCCAAAGCTTACCATGGACTTTGCTTTCAAATAGCATTTATAGCCAATCTTAGTTAATATCTTATTGTGATAAGATTTCAAAATACATATTACTGATTTTCTGCTTATGAATATTTTCAGAATTCAAAGATCCATAATTTTTCCCCATATCTTTGATCCCTTTAAATTTACTCCAATTTTTCCTAAATATAATATGAGGATGGAAGTGTGTCTGAGTAATCACTCCACGTAATCTCTGGTACATTGCCCTGTCAAACTGCCAGCCCGCTGACCAGTTGCATTATATGGAGGCTGCGCCCACCCCAGATCCAGCAATACGAAAAAAGTAATAATACATTGTGACTCGACACGTGACACGGTGAGTTTGACACCTGTGCCCTAAAAGGACAAAGGCCTTCTCTAGTGTTAATTGACAAATCTGTTCTTAATTTTCAGGTTCCTGTTTTACAACATTCCCCCATCTATTCGCATATCCCCAAAATTAAATGTACATGTATAAATAAAGGATTGGAACTGGATGACCATGGAATAATGCCTATTGCTGGTATGTTGAAGAGAACATTCAAAGTGAAATACTAAATGAGCCAACCATAATGTCACACAACAAGGTACAGATGCATAAAGCAACTCATTCCATACATCCACTCCTTGTTTCTGAACAAGTGCAATACCACATTTGTTGGTGATGGATTTAAAATGACTTTTGAGGTGTGTCTTAATGATTAATCATCTTTTATCCTCACATTTTCAGAACAAACAAGAGATAGCCTTCCTCAAGTCTGAATTTAAATTCCCATAATTCCAGGCCATCAAGACAGATTAGAAAAAGGTGATTTATCATTTGTTAGATTTATATTGCATCTTTCTGCCATAAACTTGTTTAACTACATTCTCCTTGTGAGAAAGTTGAATTGAGACAGTGATTGATCTGAAGTCTAGCACTGAATTTTATGGCTAACATTGGGCTTAAACTTTGGTCTTCACAATCTTAGTCCAATGCATTAACTACCCACAATATTGGATCCCAGTTAAACCAAAAATATATCCTTTTGTAACCCAGGATAACATATGCTTTTGAGTGAACTGCTAGGAGCACATGCCAAAATGGAAATGGTGACAGGAATTTTAAAAATGGGCAGAAATAACATAAATCAAATACAGCTACTAGAAAAGAACATTTACAGTCTGGGAAGTAAACAAAAGTGGGGGGAGCAATAGTACATCTGAGAAGTCCT